AGCAACCCTCTAGCACCCCTCGGTCAGGCCCCAGCAGTGGGGGGAGAGAGCAGCTGCAGGTGGCGGGGCAGAGGGGACGAGGGGACGACCCAGCAGCGAGCTTGCCCACCGCGCTCAGCCACAAAATTCACTTAACCTCTCAGAAATGGTTTTCTCCCATGGTGAGTTACCATGGGGATGGCTGCAAAGCACCGAGGATCTGTCTCCCTAAGGATGTCAAGACACCCTGCAGACTTGTACTGGAGAAGCCTTCCTTTTTCTCCCTGGATTTCACCAAGAAAAGGTGGGGGGGCGGGGGAGAAGAGGCCAGATGAGGCTGTGCAATCTGTGGTCAGAGACACTCCTGCATCCCTTGAGAGATGCCGCCTTAAAGTTGTGACACGCTCAGGAGCGCACACAAGGCCTACAGATGCACGGTTATTCCCGTGAGGAGACAGATATATGGCCAAGGATGGGTCACAGGTGACTTTATTATTAAGTCACCTATGAAATAAAAAGGCTGAGGAACCCGAGAAAACACTTAAGTTCCCAGAAGCACATACACCCAGCTGTGATCATTTAGGCGGTGCTGTGGGATCGCGGGAAGGAGGGATTCCCAAAGCTGCCTTGCCTCCATCTCTGCCTGCTGCTGTTCAGAGGCACGGCCAGCCTGCGGTCCTCGGGGAGGGAAGGGGGGAAGAGCACAAGACGGAAAGGAAAAGTGACTCTAAATGCACGCGGAGCATGCCACAAGCTTTCCTGGTGCCTACAGAAACGCATACAGAATTGTACCCTTCCCCTGAGACAAGCACCACGGCTAGGCCTCTGTAGTGGAAATAAATAGGGGCCTCAGCTGAATTACAAATTATTCTTTCCACATTTAACTATTACTAGGCTTGCAGATGATGCTTTTCCTCAGGAAATCCTGTACCAGGGATGTCAGCGGCATTATTCCCACACTGCAGATGAACAGAGGCAGAGAAGCAGTACTTCTTCCACCAGCAAACACATTAAAACTGAGGCACAGAGACCATTTTGGGATGCATCAATCCCACAGCCGGCCACGACGTTCTCTTACCATGCAGGCCCTCACCAGGGCTGAGGCACACCAGCAAGACGCGTCCTACCTTGTTTCCAGCTCAGCAATGAAACAAGCCCACGGTCCTTGTCCCTTCGCATTTCCTCTGACCGTTCAGTCTCATCTCACTGATATTTGCAACGGCACCTGGGACCTTCATGTTAAAATCGCTGCCACGCCACGCATTCGCAAAGCCCCTTTCGTCAGGCTCCAGCTTTTGCTGTAACTCACCCCAAAAAGGAGAAAACACTCCCGCTCCAGCCAGAAGCCACAGGCAGTCACAGCAGGACCCAGAGCCCCTTCCCCTCCACATTTTTACTCACAGCTCAGAGAAGCCACAAGCACCTCTGCTATTTCTTCAGCCCCGAGCGTGCTTGAACTTCCTCTGAACTTCTTTCGGAGCACTTTAAACATGGAAATTATCTAGGGATCGATGCATATATTCACCAAAGTGTTACAGAAAATTTGCTTTTAAATGACCAAAAGGACAAGCGCTGAATGTCATGAACGCTGGCTAATCAAACAAGAACACTGGCTAATTTACAACCTCGAATCGCTTTTTACTTTGTATCTCAAAATTATTTTTTTAAACCGTGGTTTCATGTTTTTCCTGCTTACTTTAGCTGAGAGTACCGCCAAGGATTGTTTAAGATGTATGAAGCTTTTGCCAGGCTTTAGCTTCTGAATAACATTAAACAGGCTGATGGGGGGTGTTGTGGGCTCTACGGGACAGGGAATGAGGGAAAACGAAAGGAGGAAGCCCCGCTAGGACTAAAATCTATTTCTCACTGCGGTATGCCCCTGGGCCTTTGGGTACCTGTGTGCCACAGTCCCTGTGAGCCACCGCCGGCAGCTCGCGCTGAGGCAGGAGTCACCCACTGCATGGCCCTCGCTTATCTCAGGCTCTGCTCACGGAGACAGCTCGAGTCCTCCAGCTGAGGTGCGAGACCTTACAGAAAGGGAGAGACGTGATCACAGACACGCTCCGGGAAGCAGCAAGAGCTGTGCCTCAGCAGGGGTGAGAGGAGGCTGGTGCAGAGAGCCGCTCTGGGCGGAAAGGGACCCCCCACCTTGGGGGTGCCCCGTGCAGGGGGCATCAAAGTCAGGCCAGCCCTGGGCTGCCTCTGCTTTGGGAGATCTGGGCTCTGACGTGAACCGCTGGCAGCCCAACCTAGGCATCTCTCTCCAGGGGCCACACGGCCTCCGTTTTGTGCGGTTTATTAGGATGTCACTCAAAACTCCCCACAGGGAATAATATTTGCAGCTTTCAGGGTTACACATGCACAAGCCTTCACAGGAGCTGCATCCCTAACATACTTCCATGAGGCAGACCATCCACGGCTAGGGATGGTCTTTTCCTTCTCCTCATAGCCTGAGGGGCTGTGAAGGCTTCCAGTGCTCCAGTGAGTGACAGTCCCTAAAGTTTGCAGAGGTTTGCTAAACACTGACAGAGAGGGGGTGGGGAGAGCAGTGAAAGGAAAGAAAGCAGGGGGGAGGGAGGAAAAAAAAGAAAGATGCAGAGGATTTCAGCTCTGGCTCTGCTACAGCGACTTGACATGGGGTGTGTGAAGGAGCCTGAAACTTAAAAAGATTTATTTTCTCTAGTCATAAATCTCATCCCGTTGTTCCTCTGACCAACCAAGCATGATAAAGTCCTTTTCCATAAAGTATTCAGTATTAAAGCCACAAAGCTCACCCAATCAGTAGCCATCTGCTTCTCCCATAACTGCTGCTCCAGAAGCAGGGAAAAGCAGCCAGAAGAGAAAGGGCACCACTGTTAAGGCTCCGGGACAAATGAGGAGGCACTGAATAGCATTCGAAACCTTTAGTTTGCCTTGTATATCTGTATCTATAGAGACAGAGGAAGAAAGGAAGCATTATATTGATACAACAATTGTAAAACAAAAAAAGGAAGAGGCATCTAAAGGGCAATACAGCAGGCATCAGAGGGCCCCACGTAAAAGGGATGCTAACAGATTTATAGAAACCTTTAATTGGTTTTCAATTGAAAGATAAAGAGGTTAAGGAAAAACTGGGAAGAGTGGCAAAATGATCTGCATTACTCTTCCGCATATGCGATAGACTTCATGCAATCAAACCATTTTTACATGATTTCCCTCGTGTCGAGCTCCCCCCTCCAACCCTCCCTCCTCCAAAGCATCCAAAACATCCCAACGCAGAAACGCTGCTTTGAACTTGACTTTCAGCTGGCTTGGAGGGAACAGTCCTCCTCCTCCTTCCCCGCACTAGTCGTAGCTAAACATATCTGAACAAGAAAACGTGAAAGTCGCTCAGTGCATGCAGCATCTACGGGGACACGGAGTCCGGCTGGCGGCCGGTGCCTAGCAAAGGCGGAGGAGGCAATAGCTGACTCCCAGAGAGGTTATTCTGAGGATGTTTCCCCGCTGGGCAGGCTCTGCGGGACCAGGCAAGAACCGGGGCGAGCAAGGAATTTACCGCTTCAACTCTCCATTATCTACGCTGGTCCTCTAATTAATAAAATAAAAAGTAATGGTGCACATTACAAGTAAGAGGAGGGTGGAAGACCAGGGAGTGGGAAACAGATGAATTTAAAGATGTGGTGTTGCTATTGCGGGTGTGATGAGCGAGCCCCGGCTGGGGGAGCAGCCCCACGCACAGGCGACGGAGCGGGCTGCGCTGGCTGGGGCTTGGGGCCGCAGGCCGGCAGCGCGCGGACCCTCATCA